TATCATCTCTAGAGTGTCAATTCATGTTCATGAATGTCATTCACTTCTTATATGTCAATCAACATATAATTATCCCTAGATTTCCCAAAATACCCTTATGGCCAATTATTCCATATATCAATCTAGGAATCAAGAAACACCTTATGTTTTGATTTCAAATCATTCCAAGAGTATCCAGTCACAATTATGAACTTCCTTTACCCATCAATCTCTCAACTACAAAGGATTCCATTGGTTTCATCATATTGTCCCCAAAACCATTTAAACCCTAACTTATACATGATTCTACCATCATCGATGTGTTTGAGCATTCTAATTGGAATTAATGTCATCAAACAACATCTAGGTCATAGAATATAGTCAAATTATATCATCAATTTTAAAATCCCCAATTTGGGTTTCTAGGGTTCATCAAGGTTTTCACCCAAATCCTCAAATCCATCAATGGAGTGATTGTATTGAGATTGGGATCATCAAAACAACTCAAGGGAGGTTAGAAACCAAAACCCTAACCCTTATAAGAAGCTAAATTCAACATTGGTGTCAAGCCCACTTCACAAATCCGAATTCTAGGTGAAAAAGAGAAGAAATTATACCTTGAACCACTTGATATCTTCACAACTTGCACCAAATGAACCAAGAAGGATTGAGATCGGCCTCTAGGGTTTCTATTGAGCTTGAATCGTCATCCAACCTCCTCTATTCTCCTCCCATCGTTCTTGTTTGGCTGAAATGAAGAGGAAGCATTCTTATTTTCGGATTTGTCATATTTGGTCCTTCTAGTTTACATCTTTTGCTAAATTTACCATTTCTTCATTTATTTTCACATTTTCTTAAAAGGTTGACATAATGAGTCCTTGACCATCCCATTCTTAACATTTCTCATCCATTTAACCTTGGTGATTCAACCCTTGGTCAAACATACTTTTCCAAATTGACACTTTGGGTCCCTTAACTTTGAAATGTTAACATCTCAACCTTTAACTTTGCAAGATTCATATCGACTAATGATATGATTATCATTTAAATGAATTAATTATGTAACTCCTCCTTTATTTAAATATCTTAATTAATTTAAGACCCTTATCTTAAATTTTAGGATGTTACAAATATTTTGGAATGCCAATTGTATTCTGAAGTCGTTCTATGAATCTTGGATAAACTTTCGAATCTGTTCTATGCATTTTGGACATGTTCCACATATTTTGGACATGATCTTTGTATTCCATAGTCGTTCTGGAATACGTTGAATTAGGATATTTTAAGATCTGTTGATCTAGTTCACACGTATACCCACATGTAATCCTACGATAGCCTAAAAACCACTAAAAATCGAAGGATAACAAATAAAACCTATGTAATTACATCAACTCACACAAAATAAAGAAAATTATTTACTTTTAACATATAATCTAACGCAAAAACATATAATTATAAAGATAATGGAAACATACATTTAAAAAATGCATCTCCTTGTTTCTAGAAGAATACATTCTTGAAGTAGGATTGGTGTCCAAAATGTTGTCTGAAATGATTGAGTTCGAAATGAAGTCTGAAATGGGTTCGAAATATTATTTATAGGGGAGATCACATTACTGGGTCGGATCACTATACTCATTTACCCATTTCAAAATAAGGATATGCAATCGGTCATTCCAGACCCATTTGTCATTTTTCAAAAAAAAATTATGATTTTCTTTTTAAATAACATTTAATGTTTAGATTACTCAGTTTTCTTATATCGATTTGACAAGGAATGTGAATGACCTTTAAAAGTATGAAGCATTTGGTTGTAAATTCTTTTAATTAGCTTGTAATTGTGTGTTATTTCATCTTAGGTTGGGTTTTTTAGACACTACTGACCATAAATATGACCATAAATATGATAGATGTTATATCATTGCAATCTAATGTCATATCATTGCAATCTAATGTCACATAAAATCATATTAAGTTAGTATACGTATTATTACACATCATATATCCTTCTTATTTTATGTTTATTTAAATAAAAAATATTTTTAATTTAATTAAATGTGAAAAAGATATAGAAAAAAAATATATGATTGAGTATTTGGTTAATTATTATAATGACCATATTTCTTATGGGGAAATGACACGGATGCCCTAAAAAGTTTTTAGGGTTTGTCGATTTAGTCTCTAACGTTTTTGTCGGGCTTTATGGGTCCTTAAACTAGGATACAACCTGCTCTTTTAGTCTCTGTCAACCTGTAATAGTCGGTTCACCATACAACACAACAATGACCATTTAGACCAAAAAAAACTCACATGGTGCCCCTATAAAGCCAAAAAAATAAGTTCGGGGATCAAATGCTTATGTCACAAGATCGAAGTGATTTGGGAGAAGAATGAAAGATATCAGTCCATTCGATTTATTGTGTGTCTTTGTATATACCAACATCCAGCAACAAAAATCAACTTTATTAGCTCTCCTTTTATTCTAAAGTCGACTCACACTCAATCCGTACCCTCCCAAGAAATCGATCGCTGCTCTTCTTTCCGTCTTCACCCTCGATCGTCATACATACTCACCGAATATCACAACCCTCTTCTCCTTCTAATTGATTCTCGATCACAACCCCCTTCCACTCTTTTCTTTGATTCGATTTCAGGTCTTCAAGGAATTGACCCCTCCTTCCTTCTTCTCTTTTCAACATCGCACAAGCTACCCTCCGAGTTGCAGGTTTGATAGATGCGAGGTTGAGAAGGATGTGTGGGTTTGATGAGGTTCACAGAGAAAACGAGAGTTTTTTTTTCTTCGATTTGCAGGTGATTGGTTATGGTGGCTGACTGGTGGTTTTTGTGGGTTATGGGTGCTCCGTTGGTGGCTGATTTCACAAGAGAAATGGGAGGAATAAGGGTGGTTGGATTTGGCTGTTGTGATATTAATTCAATGGTGATTAATGTGGGTTATGGTGGCTTTAATGGCCGAATAAAATGTTGATGAGCAGTTGGTTTAGGTAGGGTGGCGGGTTGACGGAGGAGGTTGTGAGGAAGGTGGCATAAGGGTGGTATTGGGTAGAGATGAAGGTGAAACTAGCATTTGATCCCCGAACTTATTTTTTTGGCTTTATAGGGGCACAATGTGAGTTTTTTTTGTCTAAATGGTCATTGTCGCATGGTTAACCGACTATTATAGGTTGTCATGGACAAAAAGAGCAGACCATATCCTAGTTTAGGGACCCATAAATCCTAACAAAAACTTTAGGGACTGAATCGACCAACCCTAAAACTTTGTTGGGCATTTGTGTAATTTCCCCCATTTCTTATATATTTCACCGTATTATCATGATGTTCACATCCCCTTTGTGGTTACCATTTTTGCCATTCTAGCAATATATTTTACTTTCATTTGATGTTGAAGTTTTATTTCATTTTTGTTGGTTATGTTCACTTTATTTACATGCTTCTTACCTATTTGACAAAAAGTTTGTTTATCATTATTTATTAATTTATGTATAACAGTTATGAATGAATATTAAATTTTAAATTAAATATAATATCCGGCTATATACTCGTTTTTAATTTTTAAATGTGTACGCGGGAATCTTAATTGTATTTTTTATATAAAGTTATATTGACTTTTTTATTTTTTAAGTCCGAAATAGATTATATATAATAGGAAATTAATATTCGAAAATTCTAATGGTGTTTCTTTATATTTGTATGAAAACTAGATATATCTTAAAATTACATAATTATCAAGGATTGATAAAGGATAGTCAAAGAAGTCATTGTATTCTAAACTCCAAATATAAAGTAAAATATGTTTTTCCTTTTAAGTTTTAACTTTTTAACAAGCGTCGTAAATTGCATCAGCTAATTACTATTCTGGGGAATATCTTGACCAAAAGTTTCAAACTACAGGTTGTCAATTCCCTTTTAAAATAATTTTATATTCTTTTGTAACCTACATAAATGCTAAATTTGAGATAATATAGTGGACTTACGTACAATCATTGGATAAAATTATATTTTTTTTATAAAACTGGTCTTTCATTGTTGTAGCTTGTACGTAATCATCTAAAACATATATTAATAAAAAACATAATCAAAAACATGTATAATATTTTAAAGTTATTCTTTTAAGTACTAATTAAATTAAATACTGAAATTATCAAATTACCTAAACTGTACTTTTTTCCTGGACACTGGCCGAAACACGTTGCTTTTTCCAAGACGCAGGGAGTGACGGGGTGTGAATTGTAATGCTCGATTTGATAAAATGTTTTAGGAAAAAGTTTTTGTTTAAATTATAAAATATTATAGAACCACGAACTTGAAAAAACCTTTTGCAGACCAAATGTATTAATTGGAACTGTAGTCTTTACTAAAGATAAAAAACGTTGCATTGTATAAAGCAAAAAAAAAAGATCAATATAAAATCTTACAATAAAAATTACTGTGTTTATTTTAAAAGACTAACTCAATTAATTTTGAGATAACTACTATTAAAATTGAAATATTTAATATGATATTATGTTGTGGGTTGCTTTCGACTCTTAATTTTATTGTTTATAGCTAATTTGTTTTTTTTTTATAATCATTTGACTTTTCAAATATAATATTCAAATTAAGTATACTTACTCCAAAGAAATACAGAAATTATAACCTTTAACTCATGTTTGAAAAAATAACAATAAATTTTAAATACTAATTTACTATATATCATTTAACCAGTTAAAATAACAAAACAAACCAAAACTAAAAGCCGTTATAATAATTTATAATTTAGAGATGCCCCCGGCGAGTGACATTAATCATATTAAAACTTTAAAAAAATCTCAATATTCCATGAAAAAGACGTTATATTTGGAGAATAAAAATTAATACAAGTCATATTCATATAAAGTATTAAAAAACAAACTTAAGATATGAACTAAAAAACGACCATATGCAACAATTTCTTCTTGAGATTTACCAAAGAATAACACATAATGACATAAACACTGATGCAGTGATGCAGTATTGCCCATGAAACCCCAACCCGACCTGACCCGACCCATAAAAATCAATTCAAAATATTTAAAATAAACATAAAAACACCAAAAACAAAAATATTTAAAAAAAAAAAAATCTCTACTCTATTTTCATTCAAATTATCCGGGATCACGGTGTGACAGTATTTGGCGAGTTTCGGGTCTCCGTTGGCGGCGTATGCACATCCGACCCTTTGGACGGGTCATCAGACGACTGTCTCAACCCGTCATCCGTTTCACCGCGATTCATATCCTCCATCATCCTAACAACCTCCTGCATCGCGGGTCGCTGATCTGGCACAGTCGATACACATGCCATTGCTATTTGCAACAATTGAACCATTTCCTCTTCAATATTTTGATACCTCATTAATTCCACATCAAAAACCTCAGCAGTCCATTCCTCACGCACCACCGATTGGACCCAACGTGGCAAATCTATCCCTTCTTCACCCAATGACGCTTGGTTTGGAGCTTTTCCCGTTAAAAGCTCCAATAAGAGTACCCCGAAGCTATACACATCCGATTTGAATGTGACTTTTCGGGTCTCGAGCACCTCTGGTGCTCGATACCCCGTGACACGCGTGTTCGGGGAGCTTGACCCCCCGAACAGCGTGTTGAGACCGAAATCGGAAACAGACGCGTCGCGGTTAGTTTCTTGCCGGAGGAGGATGTTTGATGCTTTGATGTTGCCGTGCACGACTTTTCCGGCGACGTGGAGGTATGCCACCCCTCTGGCGGCACTTAGTGCGATTCTCATCCGGTGGTCCCAATCTAGCGGTGTCCGCCCCGATCCTCTACTTCCTGCAAAATAATCATGTTTCGTTAATAACAATTAACACTGTGCAGTATACTGTACAACAACCCCTGAGCTGACCCACACTGCTAAATCATCTGAGATGTAGATCATGTAGAAATGGATCAATTAATTAGTTGATGCATTTGTGATATCCGAACAAAGGGTTTAACTATGCAACTCATCAATGCATTAGTTGGTTGTTGGGTAGGGTACAGCTAGTCAATGCATCAACCGGTTGTACTCATGAATGAATATGCAAATTTCCAAAAAGGGAAATACATGTGTAAATAGCGAAGGAGCGTGAGATTGAAGGAAAACAAAACAAAAGGACAATAAGGGGCAAAAATGGAAAAACATTCTTTCATCATGATTGCAAAGGGTGGAAAAGCATGTTGGTGGGGAAACATGGGGGGGCGTGTAGCAATTATTAGTTTATTAAAGGAGTTGATGTGTAATATTTACTACTCACTTGCGTAAAAGAAAGACGGGTAGCCCACACAGATATCATGCGCCGGGATGCACATTTCACACCACATGGATGTCATTATTAAAAGGGAAAAAAACATACTTCCGACAATTACGTATATTTGTGCTTTAAAACTTTAAAATAACGGAATATTTAAGATTAAACAAACATCTTAAGATATTTACCGTATGACTAAAAAAATTATTAGTATCTTTTAAAATGACCATTTTCACATACGAAATTTGTTTATTTATTCCTAAGATCATATAATTTTTAAACAAATGTCTCAACTCTTATAAGGTAAAACCAGTTGCGTGATGAACAACTATTTATGAATAATGTACAAGTCTTTTACACCATGGAGATTGTGAATTTAATATTATATGAGTAGGGATTTCATCATTAACCATATAAGGTCCCAAAATTCTAAGCAACGTGTACTCAAAAAATACTCTAAAGACCCAACTGTTTTTAGGTGCAAGATACGCCTATTAATGCATAAGGTACAAGTCTTTATAGCATGATTTGAGTTGCAAAATACACAAGTTAAGAATTTCATTCAAGGGCTTAAAAATGGTCCCAAAAATAAAGCATTTTGCACCCAATGCCTACTTTTATGAAATCTTTTAGACAGGTGTGCAAAATACAACTACTGATGCAGAAAGTACAAGTCTTTGTTGCATAATGAAAAATGGATAGTGACTTGTGACCATTGCCACCCCACTAATGTACCATACAAACTACCTAATTCTATCATTGGCTTTACTTATAGACCCTAGTCAATGTTCAGAGGTTTAAGCTTGTACACAATGCAACAAGACTTGTACACTGGAACATATCCTAAAATCAACATTCATGTGATTCAAGAGCTTCCATTGAAATCTTTAAAAATGAAGATGATAAAGATTCAAACCCGCGAATACCCACAATTTGAACGCAATAAATCAATCAAAAATGGAATAAATAACGCGAAATGTGGTGAGAAAGATGAAGAAATTATTACCATGGAGAAGAGCAGATAAGCTACCAGCAGGCATGTAATCAGAAACAAGCAATTTTTCATCCTTTGAGAAATAGAAAGCTCTCAATGGAACCACATTTTCGTTCTTCATCTTCCCCAAAACCTCCATTTGTGATTCGAATTCCTTCTTTGTCACCACCACATCTTTCAGTCTCTTCACAACCACCGTCGTTCCTTCCTCCAACACCGCCTTGTACGACGTCCCAACACTCCCTTTCCCCAAAACCTCAGCTGATGCTCTCAACAGATCTTCCAAATCAAAACTGTAAATCCCGCCATCGAAGAACACTAACTTGTTTCTCTCACCTTCCGTCGACGCGCCGGTAATGTCGTCTTTAGATGAAGAAGTCCCGGCTTCGGCAACACCTCTGGAAGCAGCTGTTGAAGCAGGTAACGGAGGTTTTGGAGATTGTTTGCTCCGCTGATTTCTCTTTTTTCGTAAAAAGAGAAGTAGGATTAGCAACAATAAAGCTAGAACAAGCGCCGATCCGACTGCAATAGCGACAATTGCCCCGGTTGAGAGCTTCTTCTTTGATTTTTTGTGTAATGCCGGTGGTTCATCCGAAGACGGAGATGGCGCCGGAGAAGGGAAGAATGAGCTATTGCAAGCGGGTAAAGGATCACCGCAGAGATTAATGTTCCCGGAGAATGCAGATACCGGAAACGAGGCCAACGACGTAGGAATCGAACCATTTAGATTATTATTTGAGAGGTTCAGAGCGACTAAACTTGCCGGGCTTATACTCGGAAGTTGGCCGGAAAAAGCGTTGTCCTCTAAGAAAAGCCCAGTGAGTTCGGTTAAATTGTTGATGATAAACGGAAGCGAGCCGGAAAAGTTGTTACGGGAGAGATCCAAACGGGTTAAACGAGTCAACTCGGATAGACTCGGGGGGAACCCACCGGAAAACCTGTTATCCTGCAAGTAAACGCTGCGAAGGAAGGCGAGATTGGAGAAATCAGAAGGGAGGCCGCCTGTGAGGCCATTGGAGTGGAGTGACAGAACACGGAGCTGAGATAAACTTCCAATTGTTTTCGGTGGTATGTTCCCAACGAGGTCGACGCCAGGTAGACGGAGGTAGATGACGGAGGAGTTAGTTGGGTCACAGGTAACGCCGATCCATGAGCAAGCGGATTCCGACGCGTTCCATGAGATACGAGAAGCGTGAGGAACTTGAGAGATGAATGAAAGGAGTGCTTGCTTGTCCTGAGTCGGCTCGGATGTGAGTCGGTGGCTCAGAAGGAAAAGTGAAAAGAGTAAAACGGCAAAACGAGCCATGGAAGAAATGCACTGTGATTTTGTTTGTAGTTGAGGAAAGGGAGATGAGTAGGTGGTGGGTGGTGGTTATTTTGGAGGTTTCCGGCGACAGGCGGCCATTAGAGGGGGAGGGAGGTTTTAGAGAGAGAAAGAATGTCTGGTCAGAGAGAGAGTAATAAATCACGAGAGGTGGATGGATGGATGAAGGAATATTGTTAAAAGGAAAAGGAGAAAAAGTAGTGTCGTTTTGCTGGCAGCCAACAATTAAAAAGAACTTTTTTTTTTAATAAAACATTGTAATCTGAATCTATCTTATACTATATATTTGAGTTAACTAAAAAAAATTATACTATCAGTTAAGTTTCAACAGAAAGTTGATAACAATAAATTCCAAAATAAAAAGAATCAAAATTGGTAGCAACATTATTTCAAATAAAGATAGTTGTGTAACAAATTGACAATTACACTAGTATACTATAATAACATAAAAATAATAATATATATTGTAAATCAGTTTAAACGAATTAATATTTAAAATCATATATAATAACTAAATCTACCTTCTCTAATAAACAAAACCTTTAAATGCCACATTTCTCATTTGTAGGTAGACTAATTAACACGTGATAATCTTTAAAGAATTTTTAATTTTCAGTTTTTTTTTGGTAATTGGTAAAAATCTTTCAAATATCCGTTTTTTTTTTGTTAACATAAACAATTGAAAATGGTAAGTATCTATAACATAACTATTCGAAAATGGGAAGTATTTATAAGGAATTTTCAATTTTCAAATTTTTTTAATTGGATCTTAATTTCTAAAATACGATTTAACTTTTAGGAGGGTAATGCTTTAGAAGACTAATAAAACAGCTTTTAGTTTTATCTAATAGTCCTTTTATGATATTTTTTTCCATGATAAAATTTTTAATTGTTAATTTTTTTTGTTTATATAAAAATTTTAATCATACCAACCGTGGTTTCCACGGGTTATAACCTAATTTGTAATAAAGTTATTCAAAAAATCAAGATGACGAAATTGTTAAAATAGTAATTGTTATAACAAGTAACAATTTTCAAATATGTGTGCATAAACTATTAAATCGGGTTTATCAATATTTATTTATTTTTATTTTTAGAACGGTATCAATACTTATTAACTAGTATTTATACTATATTATATTTGTAATTTATTGTTATGTTTTTAATAATTATTTAATATTACAAATAATTATGATTATATTTATATATTACTGAGTAATTATTAATTATAAATATTTTAATATATTTGTAAAATACTTGTTAGTGTGTTGGTAGAAAACACTTTTTAAATGTTGTTATTGCATTTGTTTAGTTGTAATTATAAAAAAATGGGTATGACAAAACTGAATATTATAAAAATGTGAATGATCTAATAATATATCAAATCTATATGTTTTTTAGTTATTTTATTTAATAACTAGAAAAGATTCTCCGGCGTTGCCGGGGTCGGAAGATATTGCTTTGTAAAGTAAAGTAGCATATTGGTTGCTTTTTGTCCGTTAATGTGAGGGTAATTTGGTCTTTTCAGGTAGTAGGGACTGAATTTGTCACCATGGTTAAACCATATGGACCATTTATCTAATTTTGGCGGTGGTGGTGGTGGTGGTGATGGCAGATGGTGGGTGGATTTATGATATTGGGTGGGTATTTTCTAATAAATAAAACATTAATTTAAAACCAAAAAAAGAATGTTAAATCTGGTAAACCACAAGGACCAATCGTGTAATTTTGTCTAACAATAATAATAATAATGATGAGGGACCATTTCTGCCAAAAGACTAAATATTAATAATATGTAATAAAAGGCGAGGGTTAAAAGCTCGTGAGCTACTCGAGATCGGATCGTTAAAAGCTCGACTCGAAACCGATTTTAAACGAGCTCGAGCTTAATATTAAGATCGTTTATTAAACGAGCTCGAGCTCGAGCCTATGTCACTAAGCTCGATTAGGCTCGCGAGCCTAAACGAGCCTTTATATAATATAATTTATTATTATTTTTATATATTCAAATTAAAAAATATTTGGGGATTAGGTATTTAGGGTTTTAGTAAACGAGCTCAAGTCGAGCTTAAACTTATTTAGACACGTTGGACAAAAAACGAGCCGAACCCGAGCCCGAGTCGAGCTTGTATAACTATTTACATGCTCGAGCCGAGCTCAGTACAAGAAGCTCGAATCGAGCCGAGCTCGAGCTCGAGCCTCGTATAACTTAAACGAGCCCGAGCCAAGCCCGACCAGGCTCGGGCTCGGCTCGGCTCGTTTGCACCCAATATATATATATATATATATATATATATATATATATATATATATATATATATATATATATATATATATATATATATATAAAGTGAAAATTTTGTCTGTATGTCCATTTAAATAAACCTGTTTTCAGAATTAATAGAAAAAGATTCTAGAAACATGAAAATGTATATCATAAAATAATCATATTTTATACATAAATCGCAATATTATCATTTATTCGTACAAAAATATATGTTGTTTGATTCATGAAATTACTTTTTATAACACCTATTTCAGAAAATGTATGTTTGCTTAATTTATGAAATAACTTTTTCCGACATTATAATTCATGAAATTTACAAAAATATATACTTTTGGCAAAAATTATATCATTTTCATGGAACAAACAAAACTTTAAACTTTTCTAACATAAGTTTTTTATGAAATTTAAATATATTAGGTACATCAATTTTTGTAAATTATGTTTGACGTAGTAGCTGAAAAATTAGTTGTTAGCTGAAAAGTTAGTTGATAGCGAAAAATCTAGCTGTTATAAGAAAAATTAACTGATAGTTAAAAAGCTAACATGTATAAAATGAGGTTTGGTAAAACTAACTGATAAATTAGTTGAAAAATAGAAAATGACATAAAAACATTTAAAAAAGATATTTTATATAATTAATTAAGAGGTATATTTGAAAAAAATTAAAAAAAAAATTGAAGCTACTCTAAGTAGATTTTAAAATAAATAAATAAAAACTAGCTTATAAATTATTTTTCTTATTTGTCGTAACAACTTTAAAAAATCCTGAAAATAAATTATCTTATCAATTAGCTGACAAAACAAAATAAACTAAAAATATTTTATATTCCCATACAAAACACATGGGATGGAGTTAGGGAATTTTTTTTTTCAAAAATAGGTATCCATAGACTAGTACATCAATCTCATGAGAATCGAACATCTTAAATTTTTATTAATCCTAATTTTATTCATATTTAAAAGAAATATTATCTTAGACAAATATTTATTTGTAGAAAAAAAAATACTAAAAAGATAACTTCTCGAAACAAATTATAAAGTTATGAAATATGTTGTCGTGAACTCAAAAAAAGGTAATTTCATAAAAAATGATATTTCATCATGTTTTTCGTGAAAAAACAAAATTATTTTGTGATAGATTTTTTTTTAAATAGCTATTTTAGGATATATTCCTACATTTTTTATCTTTGTAATTAATCTCTTTCAGCTCATAAGAAGTTAGAACCTCTTTGGCATAAATAAACAAGGTTATAAACTAGTTTATTATAATTTAATATTTAATAAAATAATTTATTGTAATTTATAAAATAATTTATAGAGAAGTGATTCGTACACAACAATTTTCATGATTTATGTAGTTGTACAATACAATACTTTAATGCACAAATTGTTATATATAAAAAGCTTCAATAGACTAGTTTGATAAATATTTTTGATAGCTTAAATTGAGATAACTTGCACCAAACAAAATCTTATCTACTTTGCACCCGCATCATTAATAACTGCACAACTCACATAATATTTTTGTAATCATTAATTTTATCCTTTTGAAATGTTATTTTTATAAGGGAATCATTAGTATTTATCTTGTTGAAGAAGGATGTTCTTTATGATTAGGCTGGTGAAAATTTTCTCATTTTGGATTCTTTTATATTGCCTTGGTGTAATTTGTTTTATTTTGTATTTTTCTTTGTAGTATTTAGGTGAAAATATATATTTATTTTTTGAAGTAGGATCCACTAATATGTGTTGTAAGGTACCAAAGTCATGCAATCATTATGTTTTTTCCTTAATTAATAATTTATCAATTATAAAAGTTTGATTTTCCACATAATTTAATAAAAATAAATAAACAGTGAATAGAATTCATATAAATGCAACATCTTGGAATGTGAGAGAAAAATTAAAAAATTAAAAAATTAAAAAAAAAAGCATTCTAAGCCATGTTAATATGAATTGACAAAAATATCCTCAAGCTTCAATAATATATTTTTTTAAATTGGATATTATTAAATATGCATTGAAATAGTTAGAATAATTCATGTTCATATGCGCCAACAATGTGTATCGTATTGAAAAAATAATTAATTGGTTGCATTTAATTTAATACTATAGATTTAAGAACTTGTAGACGGCAGAAACGCTCTATGATGTTGTACGTAAGCGCTTAATCGTTGTACGTAACAAATAATGGCCAAAAATAAATGAAAATTGATTGAAATATTGTTGGGCCCAAACATAACAGAGCGTTGGTTGAAAACTTGAAATGGTCCAGACTCCAGATATTTGAAAAGCAAGCATAATTATATTTTGCAGTTAATATTACGTAAAAAAGTAATTATTGATTAATTACTTTACAAGTAATTGATTTAAAATTATAAAGAGTAAACTACATTTTTGGTCTACTTTTTTTACACCAATCTACATTTAAGTTTTCAAAATTGATATCCTCATTATTTTAAAAAGTTTCACGTATGGTCCTTGAAACTGTTATAATCTAAAAAGCTTCATGACACCTTGTATCCATCACGTGAAGGTAATTTTTTCATTTCAGTTTCTCTTTCTACTCTTAATGTCCATTTTAAAAATAGTAAATTAATCATCATCTTCTTCTCATGTATACCATCTCCATATGTTTCTTTCTTTTCTGGTGCCACGAAAAAAAAGTCCTAGCTAATCGTACCATCTAAAAATGGTGTTTTGTGCATTTAGTAGCCAAACAATAATAGTCACATCATAATGTGTTCATTATGAAATTATTTGTTTATTTTCTCAACATCACCACAATCGCACTTGTTACAAGTACAATGTGGCCTGAAATTGATGAGTTCATCAGTGAGTGTTTTGAGTTTAGTGAAGTAAACACCAACAGCATCATGATTTTGATTGAGATT